CGGACGGAATCTCAGCGCTGCAAAGGGCAGGCTGGGCCTCTGCGGGAAGGCGGCAGCCCGTCAGCCCTGCGGCGCCCCCGTGTGGGCAGTTTTTGCGAGGCATTTGCAAAGGACGTGCGGTCCGCTGGAACGGGTCTGCGGGGCTTTGCAACTGTGGGAGTATCTTTTGTCAGAGCTGATTTTTCTAAATAAATGTGCTTTGGGACACTCCTTCCTTCCTCACTCGTTTACCTGTTTGTTCAGAATACGTTAACTTGACTTCAGGTTTGTTTTTTTCAGTAACAGGAGAATCTAATGATTGCTACAAACCCCATTACAGAAATGCATAAAGCACAGCAAAAGTGCCCTCCGCAGATGACCACGAGCAGCAGCTCTGCGTGTGCAATCGTGCACGGTTCTAAAGGCACGGCCTGCACTGCGTATCTTGTCCTGGGGGTTTCCTCTTGCCCAGCTGTCCAGACGGACATCTACATCATGCTTTGGATGTCTGACCGGCAGCACTCCCGTGAGCCCACAGGAGGGCAGAGATACTTCCCGTTGCTGCCCTGCACACAGCGTGTCGTGAGCCTCGTCGGACGTGGATCTTTCTGTGGGTGTGCAAGTTCATTAGCAAGGATCCCGGAAGTGGAACTGCTGGGTCAGAGCACGTTCCCCAAATGTCAAACGTCCAGCCAGAAACCTGGGCCTTAATGATGGATCCTCGGCTTGCCTGCTGTGTGGGTCGGGAGGCTTGAATTTCCTGAATCTCCTCCTGGAGTTGAAGAGGGAAGCTGGCCCCATCTACACCAAGTAAGACCTGCCGTAAGGGCCTGCTTGTCCAGCAGCCCTGACACTGGGATTACCCGGTAGATCGTTTGCTCAACATCTTTGCAGTTCAATCTAAGTCCTGCTTGGGAAGAAAGCAAACTGCAGAGACGTCTGGAATGCCTGTGCCACATGTTGATGCACACCTCAGATTAACCTGAGAACAGGTGGCAGTTAGTCTGACCCCAGGCATGGAAAGCACCTGGGAAGACAAGCAGCAGCCACGGCCGAGGTCTGCACAGGTCAGGGTGTGCAGGTGACCGACATGCACTGGCCGCCCATAGGACAGCAGGCGCTAAGCTGCTCAGAGCCTAGGAAGCCACCATCTGCTGAAGGGAAGCCCAGGCGGCTGGTTTCCCCGGCCAGGGCTGGAGCCACCGAAGTGGACACGGCCCAGCCCCCGTCCTTGGGGAGGTCAGCCTGAGAGGGGGTAAGAGTCTGGACAAGGATGGCACGTGCTGAGGGGAAGCTGGAAGGGTGCCTGCTGACAGCCAGGGGGCGGGGGCTGGGGGGGGGAGGGTGCCATCGAGAACCTCTCCCCAGGACGACTCTGCAAGGCCAGGGGCTAACAGCCAGGACTGCTCAGAAAACAGTGTCAGAGGCGCCCGTCTGCCATCCATGGCTCGCAGAAGCCTCTCCTCCGTGCCGGGCTCTGCGCTGAGTGCTGGAAGACTTCAGCAGACGGGCGACTGTGCCAGCAGGACAGCGTCTGCTGCCTGCCGTCTGGGAACCCGCCCCGGAACCCGCCCCAGCGCGGCCGGAGCGCAGGGAGGCATCTGCCCAGACAGGAGGAAGAGCGAGCGAGGACCGCAGTGTGACCGAGGTTGTGCTTCTATGAAGAGGGCCGCTTGTTCTAGAGAACACTTAGCGGAAAAGAAAGCCTACAATCATGTCCCCCAAATCCAGGTGCCCTCCTGCCCAGGCTGAGGACCAGGGCTACTTCGACGGCCGAGCGTTCCAGGGTGTAAGCTTCAGAGCATCTCCACACGCGCACCCGCGGGGCTGGGAGCCACCAGAAAGCACAGGCAAAGGCACATACAGGCACCTTTTTTTTTTTTTTGGTTTTATTATGAAAACAAAACAAATGCCCCAGGAGAAGGGTCCATGATTACCAGAAACATCAAAGAGTACTTTCTACCATTTTTATTCTGTTGTGTTGAGGCCAGCATTGCAATAAACAAGCTAAAACTACTTACATTGGACTCATTTTCAGTAACTGACATTTACAGGAATATACTAGAAACGGCACTAAAAAGTTTAAGAAAAGTTACGGTAAACTTGCATGCACATCATACAGAAAAGTAACAATTTAAATATAAAAAAGAAAAACTTCTGGAAGCGTGATGCCAGTATTGAGAAACAGGCTACACTGGGGGGAACGCATCCTTTCTCTGGGTGGTGTTTTCCCCAGAGGGCTGTCACAGATGTGGATGTTGCATAAGAACAAAAAGAGAAATGAAAAGAAAACATATCTTACAGTTTGTAAGCAAGGTGACGCCGCCCAGCATGAGCACGGGTCTCTGCCCCCTGGGCGTCCGGGGCTCCTGTGAGGCCAACGTCCTAACCACATGGTTCCCTCCCCCTCGAGAAGAGGCTGTGAAATCTGCCCTCGGGTTCTCCGTGACACAACAGCCCTGCCTGTCCAGCTGCAGTCTCCCCAACACAGAGAGATGTGGAGATGGCAAACACCCACAGGCTGACCTCGAGGGGGCTGAGGACGTTCCCCCAAACTCAGAAGAGATATCGGCTTTGAAGTCTGCACAGAAAGCCTTAAGAAACCACAGCACCATCGAACTACACTGCTCAGGATGGACGGCAGCCCTCTGCACCACGGCGGCCTCCTCCTGGGGGGCAGGGGAAAGGGGCAGAGGTGTTCCAGAACCCACGTCTCCCGCAGAGCCAGCGGACAGTGAAGTGCTCTGAAATGCTTGCACTGTGCCGGGCTCGAGGACCACACGCTCCCCCACCTGATGGCTCACACAGGCGACCGCCCCCCACCATGCCCGCAGCTGGACAGGTGCTCCACAGGAGCCCCCCACGCGCCCCCCAGCACCCTCTGCTCGGGGAGGCGCACTTGCTGCATGTTGCCAGAGAGATCCTGCTTTAAGACCATCCATCGTGTCATGTATTAAAGTCCTAGTTTAAATATTCCGTTACAGATCTGCTTAGAAAACACCTTTGAAACACAAGGGTAACTCTAAAAAATGGCAAGTTGAAAAATCCACATATATTTTTATTATAAACAAAACTTAATGAAAAGTTTAACAAACTGGCTCAAAACTCACCAAGCGTCAGAATCACCAGCAGTAAGAAACATGGTAACCCACCACCCACCGCCTCATCAGTGCCGCGTCCAGCAAGGGCTTCCGTGACCGTTAAGGGCCGGTGGAACTTGAATCCATTTTAGGATTTGTAAAGACTGCCCCCCTACTCGGATACTGATGACCAGTCCCCCTGTCCGCCTGGAAACTCACCACCAGACCCAAGGCAGGGCACCCGCAGCTCCGCCCCCAGCACCCACCTCCTAGGGAGGTCTGGGAGAATGCCCTATCTCAGTCATTTCTGTGCTAGCGGGGAAAATGCTCCAGCAGGGAGCCCGGTGTGGTCTTTGAGGAGCGAACCCTCCTGCGGCGGGAGGCTCCTCCCGCCCCATGGCCCCACGGCCCCTGCCCTTGGGGCTGGGAGGTGAGGGGCGCCCCATGCGGGGGGGGGGGGCCTGGACGGCCGGCCCCCGGCACTCGAGGCCAAAGCCACAATGCTCCGAGCTCAGGCGGGCAGTGTGGGGCGTCCCTGCACTCAAAGGCCGCGGGGCAGCCTCTGGAAAAAACAAAACCAAAACATAACCTTCTGTTAAACTCTGTATATTATTATTATTATTTTTTTACAATAGAAAGTTAAAAATCAAGACTTAGATTTACTATACATTTTTTTCTCTCAGATTACAAAGTTTATATTATATAACTGGGGTTCCCTAAATTGATTTCTTTTAAAACAGTCCTAAAGAGACCAGAAGTGAGTACAAAAGAACTCAACACACAAAACGAAGACTGAGAACGTACTGCAGCTGGATAGTTGTCTACGCCTGTACGTCCCCAACCCCCCACGCGCACACGGAGAACAGACCCCGAGCCCCGCAGGGGAGGGGCCGGGGCAGGGCGAGCGTGCAGACGGGATTGAGCACCGGCACACGTGGCGGCACGCCAGCACCTGGAGGCCACAGTCCACCATCCGAGCAGGGGCTGGGGCTCTCCTTCGAACCACTTTTAAAAGGCCTGCATGTCTGCTATTTTTTTTTTTAATGCATTTCTTTTGCAGTTTTGTTTTTCTTTTTTAAAAAAAAAATGACCAATGATGTTAATAAATAAAGTGTTCATATATACACGAAACTGGGAAAAGAGCTCCAGAGTGTGCGGCAGCGGCAGCTCACGAGTCGGGGACACACATTGGGCTGGACTTTCGTAGAAAATTGCTGAACCTTACAAAAAAGTCTCCTTTTGTTTTTTGTTTTTTTTAATCTTTTCTTTTTTTTTTCTTTTTTTTTTTTAAGTTGAGGTAAAAGTTTCAGTGTATGGAAAGCTGCGCGCGGTACGCGCGGCCCCCGTGTTCCCTCCTGGGAGCTCCCGGCGCCCCTCCCTCCGCGCCCACCCACCTCTCCCCCACCCTCCCCTGCAGAAGCCCAGACTGGAGCCTGTGGCCGCACTGAACCCCCCAGCGGGCCCCCCGCAGCAAGAGGTGACCCCGGCCGGCCGCGGGGCTGAGCTCGGGGTCGAAGGACAGAGACAACGCCTGTTGGCAAAGCTGACAGCCTTCAGTACAGTACCATCTCAGAGAAACTTCCTTTCCAACAATTCTTTCTGGAGCTACAGACCAGGTCGGGCCTAAGAGACTTCAGATCACATCTGACATTGTTTTTCTACGGTCATCAGGTTAGCGCTGGAAGTTGCCATCTCCAAGCAACTGGACTCAGTTACGAAGAAAAGACTTTATGCGGGCTCACACCTCCTCATAAAGCCTCACGGACACACGAGAAAGATCTCTGACCTATTAAAGCAAAAACTGGAAGATACCATAACACTGAGTTAACAAGGAAACCTGCACAGCGTGGAAGGAAAGCAGTATATTAACCATCGGAGGGAACACTGCAGAGTCTGGGCGTGTGCGACATCGCTGGCTGGGTTCTGCTCTGCGTCCAGGGCTCATTCCGAGTCGCTGCTGTCGGAGCTGGACCCGCTGGAGCTGCTGCTCCCAGAGCCGGAGGAGCTGCTGCTGCTGAGCCGGGACGGCCCGCCCGAGGGCGCAGAGCCCGCTTTCTCTGAGGGAGACGCAGCAGGTGAGAGGCGCCCCCCCACGCCCCCCCCCACGCCCCTGCACTCGCCCGTGCCACGGCCCACCCATTTCTTCACCCAGTCGCCCTGTCAGTATTAACAAATATGTGCTGGAATGAATACCTATGTTAACGAGGTGACGGGACGGTAAGAAATGCGTTTGGCCTTTGTCCGGGTTCCAGGCACAGAGCTCTGAAAACCCTTGGCATCCCCCCCGAGTGATAAGAATGTCTTTGGTCATTTACAAGGAGCCCCCTGTGGATCACACCTGAGTGTATACTCATGAGTGACTCGGGGGACAGCCAGTCACCAGGAAAACCGCGGGATTGGGGCTGGGAGCTCCAGGGGAAGGGAGACTGCTGCAGATGGAGTGCTAGAACACTCTCGATGCTGAGAGCTTCCAGGCTCGGGGGTACATGGGGGTGCGGGGAGGGTGGCATGCCCAGAGAGGGGAGGGACGCCGCATGCCCCTGCCATGCCTCTCCCTGCGCATCTCTTCCATTTGGCTGCTCCTGAGCTGTACCCTTTACAATAAGCTATACGGCAAGAAAAAGCGCTTTCTAACAAACTGTCAAGTCTGAGCAGAGGATCATGGGAGCCCCAGTGTGCAGCCTGCCAGTGAGGGGTAAGGCAGGCCCAGGACTCGCACCTGGCGTCAAAGAGAAGGGCGGTCTTGTGGAGGGGAGCCCCCCACCTGTGGGCTCTGAGCTAACCCTAAGTAAATAGTGTCCAAAGGGAACTGAATTGCCAGACCCCACCTGGAGTTGGGATTGCAGACCTGGTGTGAGCAGAAGCCCCCACATCTGGTGTCAAAAGCGTGAGTAAAAATAGCTCAGAGGGCCACAAAACTATCGAAATATGCCAATCTAGAAAACACGAATGCAGTCCACCAGGAGGAACTAATGGGGTGTGGGGGCAGGTCAGCAGTTCAAAGATAGCCGTCAGTCACGTGGCACCTACTCTGCCCTTCCCAGGGGAGACCTGAGGGGACCCTCTCCACCTTCAGAGGGAGTGGGCATGGCCAATGGCAGCACCCAGCTGCCACATGATTGTGGACTCCGACCATTCACTACCTGGGCATCCCCGTCCCCGGGGCTGGGAGCAAGGGATCTGCCCTTTCTTATAGGCTCCAGAGGAAAGAGATAAGCAGTCAAATCACCTGCTCACCTAAAATAAGACGCCACTGTCCACAAAGCACAGGACCCAGAGACAGGGAGTTGGAACCTGTCTCCTGCCTGGGGACAGCCAGAAAGCTTGCTGCCAGGGGCCAGGACCCCAGTCCCTCTCAAACCATGGGGTCCACCCCCCAAGACCACAGCTAGGCCCTTCCAGAGAGTCCTCTCCGGGAGGTTCTGGCATGGGGCACTCTCTCACACTTCCATGTGCCTGACCTTCCTGCAGGAGCAGGGCTCGGGTCCCCAGGTTACAGACGAGGGACTTGGGGTTTGAGGAGGTCAACAGTGTCATCTAAGGGCACACGGCTCCAGAGCTGCTCGAGCCACAGACTGAAGTCTGGGTCTGTCGGCCACCCGGCCCCCGCCGACCCTCCCCTCTGGCCCGAGGGCCGCAGCAGGGGCAGCGGTGCGGCCCGCACACAGGTACCTTTCCTGGCGGGCTTCTTGTTGTTCAGCTGCCCGCTGACGTCCTGCAGCCGCTTCTCTAACTCCTTCTTCTTTTCCTGAGCTAACTCCTCCTTCGACTTGGCCGCCTGCTTCTTCCCGCTCGTGGCTGTGGAGGAGCACAGAGCTGAGCCGGCTGGCGGCCCCCACAGGTGCCACCCGAGCTCCTGGATGCTCACGTGTGCTGGGCCCCCACAGGGCTGCCACCCGAGCTCCCGGACGGGGCGAAACGAACCCCTGCCACAGGCAAAGCCTTTTCTGTGACCCTCACACCTGCCCCACTCCACACAGTGCACAGATGGGGCATGTGCGGCTTGGCGACACTGTCACCCCCATGTGGAGGGCAGAGTCGAGACCTGACGCGGACCCTCCGACTCGCTGTTCTCCAGCACAGACACGGCTCTCCCTCAGCCTCAGCAGGGAGGCCTCCACCGCCTGGCGGCCTATGCCACCACCTCTGAGTTGGAGGAGAACTTACCAAGGGCCAGCTGTGCCTGATGGCAGGGGTCACATGACTCCATCCAGGAGGAAGCAACTGACCCCTCAGAGTGAGGGAGAAAGCCCACTGAGAGGGCCACATGCAGGTCTAGGTGCACCCTGGGTATTCCCTGGGGCCACTGACCAGCGATCCTGCAGCTGCGGGGCTGCCTCGGGCCTGCCCTTCCGCTCACTCCCCAGGACCCGCTGCCCGAGGCACTGCCTCGTCCCCATCCAGTAAAGTTGCTGACTTCCAGGACGAGCCCAGGCCAGTGCCAACATCCATCCTGGGAGGTCTCTGGACCCTCAACTCCAGGCAAAAGGGAACTGGCCTACCCTGGCTAGGGAACCATTGAGAGGTCACCTGCAACCGTGGTCCCAAACGGAGCCTCAGCATCACTGGCACCTGAATGAATGGGGGCTGGGGGCCGACCCAGGGCTCCTGCCTGTCCTGGTGTCGGCCAAGGCATGCAAGCGCTGCCCACCTGCCCAAGTGCAGGGAAGAAGGGCCCGGCTGGGCACATGGTGGGAACAGGCAGGGAGAGAGGCCCACCCCACTGCCTGGCTTCCCCTACTCTCAGGCCTACAGGGGAGGGGAGGAGGGGAGGCGGGGGTGAGGGCAGGGACGGCGAGCATGGTGCTCTACCCCCACAACTTACACAATGGCTTCCTTTGCTTCTTCTGTAAACAAGACTTGACGTATCTCTCTAGCTCCCGCAAAGTGGTGGGCTTCAGAGTCTCAAAGTCAATCTCTATCTCGTCAGGATTGGAGTCCCTGAGCGAGGGCTCCCGGGACTGGATGATGTGCACCACCCGGCCCAGCTTCTCCCCGGGCAGCCGGTTGATGTCCAGGCTGAGCTGGCGCTTCTCGTCATAGCTCATGGGCAGGCCCTCTTCCTCCTCCTCCGAGTCGTAGGAGGCTGACGCCTGCTTGCCACCCTTCTTCGGCTGCCTGAGGCACAAGGCAAAGAACATCATGGCACAGAGCCCCTGCCGCTGTCCCCTCAGCCCCCGTGGGGCCCCCTCACCCTGTCCCTCCAGCCCCCGTGGAGCCCCCAGCCCATGGCCCCCTCAGACCCCACGGAGCCCCCAGCCCATGACCCCCCCAGCCCCCATGGAGCTCCCAGCTCATGGCGCCCCAGCCCCTGCAGAGCCCCCAGCCCCCGCAGAGCCCCCAGCCCATGGCCCCCCCAGCCCATGGCCCCCCAGCCCCTGTGGAGCCCCCAGCCCATGGCCCCCACCAGCCCATGGCCCCCCAGCCCCTGTGGAGCCCCTGCCCACAGTCCCCCCACTCCCATGGAGCCCCCTGCCCCTCGCCCCTGTTCTCTCTGGCCTTTTTCCTCTCTAGAACCAGGTTCTTTTACCAAGAGGCAAGCCCTAAGTGGTGCCCCGGGCAGAGAGGCCAGATGGACTGTCTGAGGGCTGCATATGTGTCTGCAGGGACATAGAAGACCCTGTTTCAGAGGTCAGAGCACAATCTGTTCCCAACTTGGGGGTTTCCCGGCTTCAGCCAGGAATGACTGTAGTGGTCAGCTCCCCTCAACACCACACAGGCATCTCAGATTCAGCAGGTCAAAAACTGATCTCCATATTCAAATAATCCAAAAGGAGGCAGAAAAGGGGGACAGAGAAATAAAAACCACAGGGAAGACAGAAAATAATGAATGGCAGACAGAAATGCAATTTTATCAATCATTACATTAAATATAAGTAGTCTAAACACACCAACTAAAAGACATAATCAGATTGGATAAGAAACAAAACTGACTTACATGTGGTCCACCAATCCCACTTTAAATACGATGACAGAAGTAGGTTAAAAGTAAAGAGATGGGGGGCCTACACCGCACAAACATTAACCGAGAGAAAGCTGCAGTGGCTGTGTTAGCTTCAGACAGTGGAGACTTCAGAAACAGGAATAGTGTCAGGAGAAGAGGGACATGGCATGAGAAAAGGAGCGACTGACCAAGAAGACATCACAGCCCTCGATGTGTGTACATCTAAAGACCAAGCTTTAGAACGTATAAAGCAAAACTGATAGAACCAAAGGGAGGTAGAGACATCCACAATTACAGTGGGGAATCTAACGATTCTCTCTCCCAGTGATTAATAAAGCAATCAGCAAGAAGAGAAAAGACCCCGAGAACACCATCAACCAAATTAACCTAACTGACACGTTTCTGAGGGGGGTTTTTGTTGTTGTTGTTTTCCCCCCTAACTGACATTTAGGTGACAACCCAATAGCAGGAGAACACATGTTCAAGTCCACATGGAACATTCCCCAGTTCCCAGCCATAAAATAAATCTTAACAAAAGTATTGAGCATCACATAAAGTATGTTCTCTGACCCTAATGGAATTAAGCCAGAAACCAATAACTGAACCGTGTCCAGAAAAAAAATCTCCAAATACTTGGAAATTAAACAACGTACTTCTAAATAACCCATGGTCAAAAAAGGAAGTCTAAAGGGAAATTATAAAGTATTTTGAAATGAAATCATACATATCAAATTTGTGAAGTACAGCTAAAGTAGTGTTTAGATAGAATTAAGTAGTATTAAATGTTTGTTAGAAAAGCTCTCAAATCAATAATCTAAGTTTCTACTTTAAGAGAGCAAATTAAGTCCAAAACAAGCAAAAGGAAGTAATAAAAATAAGACCATAAACAAAAGGAAGTAAAAGCAGATAAAACCCAATGACATCAAATGCTGGTTGCTTCAACAACCAATAAAACTCATCAATCTCTCTTCAGATTCACCATGAAAAAAAGACAAAGAACAGACACATCACTACAGGCCCTACAGATGTTAAAAGGACAATAAGGGCACACTGCAAACAAACCAATGCCCATAAGTTCCACAATTCAGGTGAAATGGAGCAATGTCTCGAAAGCACAAATCCCCAAAACTCACTCAAGATGAAACTGATAACCTGACTAGTCCTGTATCTACAAGAATAAGTGAATTCATCGTTAAAAGCCTCACAATGATAACCCCAGGCCCGGATGCTTTCACTGCAGAATTCTACTTTATATTTAAGAATTAATACCAACTCTATAAATCTACCCCAGAAATAGAGGAGAGAACACCCTCCCAATTCATTTTCGAGGCCAGTGTTATACTGACACCAAATCCATACAGACATTACAAGAAAACCTGACTCCTGCCTCCCCTGTGAAAAGGGAGGGAGGACCAAACACGAGCATTCCCACCCCTACCCCTCGCTAATGCTGCTGACTACCTACCCAGCTGCCAAGGCCCAAACCCCGTCCTCCTGTTCCAGGCACCAAGGCCTGCCCCTTCTGCCGCCCACCTCCATGGCCACGCTGGCCTCTCTTGCCTGCATAACAACAGCTCCTCCCCAGGCTGTCCTTTCTCCCAGGCCCGTGTCCCACTGATCCATTCTCCACACTGACCAGGATCTGACCACTTCCGGCGCAAACACCTCCTGACTTCCCTTCACTTGCTCAGAGGATAAAACGAGAGGCCTCAACAAAGCTGGCCAATCTCAGCAGCCTCTCCCAACTTGTCTTCCCAAACCAGTCTCCATTCCTCAGTGGAACCAACCTTGCCCTAATTCCCACTATTCCTAGAACACATCTGCTGGCCTCCACGGCCTTGTCATCGCTGTTCCCAACTCTTGGAACGCTATCCCGACGGCTGCCGAGCTCGTGCCTGCAGAGCAGTCACTCCTCCTCTGGGAAGCCTTCCTTCTACCTTGTGGGGGAGGCCCGCCAGCCCTGAGCGCCTTCCCCCATGCCCATCTCGCTGTGGTCCTGTCCGTGGCAAGCATCCCTCAGGGCCGGGCACGGTAGGAGTGAAGACAGAAGGCCGGTGGGCCAGGAGGGAGAAATCCGTACCAGGCGCGATGCCCCTAGGACTCCTTGGCCCAGATCAGGAAAACGGCCCTGAAGACTCGAGATGCCGGAGGCTGTGCCAGGTCGTGCGACCACTGCAGTGTCTGGGGTCGGAAGGCTAACCCCACGGACAGCCGAGTGACACCCTCCGGAGCTCGGTCTTCCCAGCACAGGTCTCATTCTGTCCCCCGGTCTCGGGGACAGGACCGCCCTGCCCCCGTCCCGTTTCCCACGTCCCGGCCCGGTCTCCGTGTCACCAGGATTTGCAGCCAAGGTGTGCAGGCCCAAATCCAGTACCCTTCCCGCCACACAAGCGCCTGGGACAGCCTCAGCAAGCCGGGGCTTGCGGGGGCCCACCTGCTGGCCACGGCCGTGCTGCTGGCCTTCTTGGCGGGGGCCTTCTTCGGCTGGGCGGGCTTGGCGGGTGGGGCCGCCTTGGCCTTCCTCTCGTCCTCGGGCTTTGTCTTGTGCCTGTCCTTGTCCTTGTCCTTCTTCTTCTTCTCCTTCTCCTTCTTCTCCTTCTTCCTCTTCGGCTTGTTCACCGGGGCCTGCGACAGGGCGGCCAGCTGCTCGTGCACAGCCTTCAGCTGGAAAACAGCAGGCGGCTGAGCGGGGCTCCCCGGGGGCTGGCCCAGGGGGCCTCGGCGTGCCCTTGGAGCTCCCTCAGACACGCGGGGAGGCGAGCCAGGAGCAGACGGCACCAGAGGCCCCCCGGCCCCCACGACCCCGTGCGCACTGCAGAGCTCCGGGCCTCGCCGGCCCTGCCTGACGCACCGCTCACCGGCCTGGAGGCCGACCGATGGGCCCAGGGCACCCTCAGGCCAGCACAGGGGGCACGGCAACAGCCCCCTCACCACTTAGACACAACTCTGCACAGACGTTTGTGTGTCTGTACGAAGGAGATTTTCAACAGCTACCTCTACGAGCCATTTGCACGCCATATGGCAGATGGGCAGGATTAAAACGATCGAGGGCCAGCAGCTGATGTTCACCCCGAGTCGGTACACACCTGGTAGTGTGCTAAGCGCTTTACATACTTTTCACTTCAGTGACCCCCGCGAGGGCCGTGAGCTGCACCTCACAGGGGAGGAAACGGTGTCACAGATTCTGGGGCCGCTGGGTGGCTACACCCAGGCCCACCTTCCCTGTGGCGTCACCTCTAACGAGGCTCAGCCCAAAATCAAACACCAGCCCCCTGCCACTAACGGCAGGGCCATCTCTACTCTGCTCTCTCCTCCCCGTCGGAGGCCAGAGTGGGGCCGCCTCATCCCTACGGCAGCCACGGAGCCGGCACCCACGAGACACTCCCACTGCAGGCGAGGCACCACACGGCAGGCTGGCATGACCCTGACCTACAGCGCTGCCAAGGGGCCCTCGGAGCAGATGCCCCACCTCCCCAGGTCCCCACCCAGGGCGGCCCGGCCCCGTGGCACACCTGTTCCTGCAGCTCGGCCAGCCGGGTGGCCCGCTCCTCCTCCGAGTCTGAGCTGCCCGAGTCCGAGGAGCTCTCCTCACTGCTACGGCTGCTCTCGGCGCCCTTGCTCAGCACGGGGGCCGCGGGGGCAGGCAGAGCCGGCGCCTCCACTGGCTCATCCGGCATCTTGGCAAACCGCATCTCAAACACGTCCTGCAGGAAAGCAGGGGCCGCCTGAGGTCCTGGACACCCATGGGGCAAGCCCCTTGGGGTGGGAGACCCACACCTGAGCGTCTGTGAGCTGCTCTCGGAGCTGCACCCGTGGTGGCTTCGAAGGCCAGGCCCACAGGGGGACTGGGCCAGCCCTAGCTTGCTCTCCCGCCCTCCCTCCCTCCCTGTCCAGGCACTGAGTGCAGGTCCAGGGACAGGGGGCAGGGGCCATGGGGCCAACAGCCACGGATGCAGCCTTCTAGGAACTGGTCCGCAAACTCCCTTTATTAAGCATGCAAGCCTTCTGTAGATCTGCGTACCCTTATGGCCTCTGGGTCTGAGGCCCTACGAGGCTGTCGCCCACTGCAAAGCAGCTGGAGTGCCTGCCTTTGTCTGAACTATGACCGCCATGGGGCCCGCAGCTGCCGGGTCTGGGGACCACTTGACATTCTCCCCCATTCCTCGCCCTAGAGCTCTTTACCACAGCATTACCTCTCATTCCGAGTTAGGCCCAAAAATTGGCTCCAAAGGCAAAGGTCTTGTTCCGTCAAAGCTGGCTTTGGAAAGCCCCTTGCCAGCTTGCACAGAGCAGGACCCAGGCTCTCAGGGGCACCTCCCAGCCAAGGCCCCTTTCCTGGAGGCCCAGGTTCATTTCAGATGGGGGTGCATAGCCACGTGGGAGCTCCCTCTCTCCTAAGCTCCTACACCCGAATCCACACCAGCTCACACTCCTGAGATGCCACCCCACTGGTCCCAGACTCTCCTCCTGGGGTGAAGACACCCCCAGAGGCACAGATGCGCACATAGGTCCAGCCTGCTCTTGGCACGTGGCTGGAGGAGCACTGACGGCAGGCTGCTTCCGTGCGGGGCTCCGACCCCAGAGATGGACTGACATGATTGCTCAGTGCACTGGGAATCGCGACTCGCAGCCTCTGTGGCCAGACTGCCGAGAACCAGCTTTAACAGGAACAGAACCAGAGCCACCGGCCTCCACACCCGATTTGCACCAGCCCCACCTGGCTTCCTCATTAAGCTGCACCAGGAGTTTTCCAGGTTCGGGAGCATCAGAGAGCAAACACGGAGTAGAACCGTGCAGAGCCTTTTTGCTCCCAGACACAGTGGGGCGTGGTCTGAGCATAAAACCACAGATCCTGCTGGCTTCTGGGCAGCCTGGGACCACCGGGACCGCTGCACCATACTCCAAGGGGGGCCGGTCCACGGAGGGCACAGCCTGCATTAGCAGAGCCTGGGAAAGGCCCACTCAACACAGGAGGGCCCAGCAGCACGAAAGACAGCTTCTCCCTCCTCCCATCTCTGGGTCCTGGGTGGCCAAGGGTGACACCATGAGCTGTTCTACGGGGTTTCAAAGGGTTCTGAGTAAAAGACTAGGAACAACTCACACAACAAATAGCCTGTATTCTGGGGATAATAAAAACTGCTGGAAGTGAGTAGAGATCCACAATTTTTACTCTTTCCTCCAAAAAAAAGTCTTCCAATTACATAACGTTTTAAAATTTTGGTGCTGTTGGGCCACCTGGGTGGCTCAGTTGATTAAGTGTCCGACTCTTGATTTCGGCTCAGGTCATGATCCCAGGGTGGTGGGATCGAGCCCCACGTTGTGCTCCGTGCTCAGCGAGGAGTCTGCTGGAGATTGTCTCTCTCTCCCTTCCCCTCCCCCACTTGTGCTCACGCTCTAAAATTTAAAAAAAAACTTTTAACATTTTGGTGCTGTTATTTATAAAAGCAACAATGCATGTCATACAGAGAGTGCACTGACCCACGCAGAACTAGGTGGGCAGCGCCCAGACTTTTGGCAGAAGGTCACACGCAAGCGTCAGGTGCCCAGCCTCACTGGCAGGCCCGTGACAAAGGCCCCCTCGCACAGAGACTGGAGCTGCAGGAGAAGGGACCCCTGCCCTCTCATCCTCCCCCTCCCCGCGGGAACGTGTGCCTGCAGCTCCCGGGGGACAGAGGCTGGACTGTCTCCCACCGTGTGCCCGGGAAGCAGGCCTGGGACCTGGCCAGTGATGGGCACCGCTCAGGAGAAAGGTGTTGAGCAGGTAACCCTCTCCCACGGCCTTCGCGGCCGTACATTCTCCAGGAGGCCGGTCTTTCCTGGGCACCTGCCCCAGATTCCTGGTCCCCCCCTGTGCCCCAAAGGCCCCTCTGCCTGAGAGCATCTCTGGTTACCTGGAGCTTCCTGGCCATGGCCACCACCTCGTGGTCTGGGGGGTTGTATTTGTAGCAGTTGGAGAACATTAACCGGATGTCGGCGGCAAAGCCCTGCGCATCTGGGTACTCACGGCTGTCCATCTTCTTCTACAACACACAAGCGGCAGGGGTGAGGGGCGCTGCCCGGCACCCCAGGGCCCAGCCAGGCCCCGCATGCAGCACCTGACACCCACCACACGACCACCATCCACGGCCAGCCCCGGACCTTGTCCCCGGGAGCCCCGAGGGACAGTGTGGGCGCGGGACTCGAGGGCTTGGAAGAGGCTCTGGGACCCCAGGGAGGCGGCCTGAATCCTGGCTCCCGCAGCCGCCACATAACCTCTCCTTGCTCTAGCTTCCGGCTCTACACGCCCCATAGCTTTATACACAGCAAAGTCCCTGATGGGAGGAGCTCCAGGGGGAACGGGGAGCTTCCAGTGAACGTTGCTGCCAACTCAGGGCAGGGGCGCAGGGGGTTCGCGGATAGAGACACTGACTTCATCGCTGTGAGAATCCAGGCACTGTTGGCCAGCCTGCCCCTCGCAATCCAGCAGGACAACGTGGGGCTGGTGGGGCTAAGACAAGGGGCGCGCTCAGGGGGAGGACAGAAGGGCGACCATCGACAGACACCGCGAGGTGGTGCTGAGAACAAGGTGCCGCTCAGGGCACGTGGAGGGGGACTGCCTGGTAAGGCAGCGAGCTCCCTGTGTCTGCACGGGTTCGAGTAGAAGTCGTCAGTCAGGGACCGCCTGTCGGCGAGGGGCGCCGCTGGAGCAGGACAGCACGGGTCTTGCTCGCACCTACACGGACACAGTCCTGGATGCTGGCGGGTTCAGTGCAGCCCGATTCCAGGGCCCGCAGCCTCTCTAGTGCCTTGGGTACGCACCCCTGCCAGTCGCAGAGCTTCTGACAGCTCCCAGGCTGCATGGCTCCAGCCCTCAGCACAGCCTCCCTACTCTGGGGAGGCCCAGCTAGGGAGGACAAACGGGCACCCGAGACCCTCTCAACCTCTGCCAGATTTTCAGACTCCGGTCCTAACTTGACCACTGGCCGCTTTCCCAGGGGGCGGGGAGCGGGGGCTGGGAACACACAGGCTACATGTTAAGTGCACTTGGGGTGCCCAAGGACAGTTGGGCAGCTGTGTGTTGTTCCTGACCGTTTCCCAGATGATGGGTGTTTCTGAAGGGGAACGCCAGAGCAAATCGCCCGCGTGCATGCAGCCCCCGCTCAGTACCCCAGCAGGACACGGCCTCAGCCTGCAGTGGCACCTGCACACCAGGGCCGGGCAGCCTCCCCACTCAGCCGCTCCCTGGCGGTGCGGCATGTACAAGTCACTGGTCTCACTGGCCTCCCGAGAGTTCTGGGGATTCAGAAGGGAACAAGTGTCACCCTCATCTGGGTGACATGAGCTCTGCCGGCTCGGCTTGAGGCTCCAAGAGTCAAAGACGTGGATTCCGGAACTGGCTCCACCAGCAGCTCACTCGGGGCAGGCCCTCCAGCCTCAGCTTCCCCGTCTAGAAACAGCAGGGGTGCGTGCAAAGGCCCAGCCCCTTTACACCCCACCACCCCAAATCCTGGCCAGGACACTGTACGGGGAGGCTAAATGGGCACACAGCCACCCACTGCCGGCCCAGAGCCAGGACCCCACAGACCCTGAGCAGGGAGAGCTTGGCCTCGGACTTGGCCTGGGAGCCCCATTCCACCCACCACCCCATGGTCAAGACCGGCTAGGAGAGAGCAGGCCTCAGGCGAGAGCAAAGCCAAACCACGGTTAGGAATTCTCCCTGGAAAGAGGGGCAGCGGTGCGCTCTGCCCTCCACCCACCTCTGCTTTGCTGGAATCTTTCCCTTTGTTCTCTACTCGCGCTAACTCACATGGATAAAACACCGTCCAAAGGAAAGGACATTATCAGGCTCCCAGCAGGGGAAGGATGGAAGGAATTCAAGGAAGAGGCTCAGTCCCCCACGTGGTTCACCTGGCACCACCACCCCACACAGCAAGGTCTGTCCTGCTCGAAACCCCCAAGCAGGGGTGTTTCAGGAGGCTCTAGTATGGAGATTCTGCCGCAGGCTGGCATCACTGGGAAACCAGGCAGAATGCCAGTTCACAGAGAAGGTGGGCTACAGTCCCCAGTGGCCTGGGGCACTCCTGAGGGGGACAGAGACCAACCCCATGCTGGCTCGGAGCGCTACCTGAGGGAGGGCACGTGTGCTGGGGCCCCAGCCAATCGGGGGGGGGGGGTCAGGAACCCCACCTGCGTGTGCTCAGGGAAGACCCCTTGGGAGTTCATTGCAGCCCTGGGTCTGCTGCCCTTGGGGTCACTGCCGCCCAGGTACTTCCTCCCTTACAGCCCAGCACAAGCTTGCTCTCTGCTTGTACACAACAGGCCGGACCCGAAACAAAACCCACTAAAGCCCAGGGAGGAGCCCCTGGCCCGGGAGGAACGGGGGGCCCGGGCTCTGGGTCTCGAGTCTACCTCCCCTGCTCCAGGGCCCCTCTCTGGCCAGGGTGGGGTGGGTCACCCGAAAGGGTGTCCTTGCGGACGTTACAAAACCCGCAAACCGAGACAGGAGACGGGCTCCAGCGGAACGAAGGACCGCGAGGCCCCGGGTTCAGTGACGACAGGCAGAACGCACCTTTGTCCCGGACGTGGCCGGACCCGTGCCAGCAGCGGGCTGTGTGCCCGCGCCACGCTGAGCGGCGCCCCAGCCGGCACATCGGCCCCACCACACAGCCGGGACAACGGCAGAGCGGGCGGAGCCCCTGCCACACGGTACCTTGACAGTGCTGAGGTCCATCGGGTGCTTGATGATGTCGTGGTAGTCGTGCAGCTCCAGGGCCTCGGCGTCCACCGGCTTGTAGAAGGGCCAGGCGTAGGCCGCGTGCTTCTTGGACAGCATCTCCTTGAGGATGCTGTCGCAGTGCCGCAGGTGCTCCGACAGCTTGCCCTTCTTGCCCGCGTGCTGCGGCACCTCGCCGTCCTCCAAGTCCTTCTTGGGCGGCTTGATGGGGCGGCCCCCGCTCTCCCGCCGTGCCACCACCTTGGCCTGCTTGGGGTCTGACAGTGGCGGGGGCGACTCGCTCCGGCTAGCGGTGATGGCGGACGTCGTGGGCGTTGTGGTGTCTGCTTTCCGCTTCACGCCCTTTTTCTGCGACAGCGAGACAACCGGTGAGCCCCAGGACCGAGCACGGGGCGCGAGAACGTGAATGCTTGCAGCTGCGCTTCCAGAGCGCTATCCGCCAGGCACAGAGCAAAGCGCCTGCATGCACAGCCACACCCGTCCCCCCAGCTCCCCGGCTCCCCCCCGCGCCACGCAGGACACCAAGGCTCAGAGGGGCCACGTCTCAGACCCAAGGTCACACAGCTGGTAGTGGGAAGGCTGGACTCAGAACCCATCCCCCAAGCCGCCCCACGAGGGTCCCCTCCGTCTGCCCCCAGGGCTCCGAGGTCACGACCGAACACTGTGAGGTATGGCATGCAAGTCACCTGCACCGAACCTCAGGCCTGTGTGGGGGGCTCCAGAGACAACATGACTGAGGTGGACCCGGTGCTGGGATCGTCCCCAAGCAAGACCCAGGCTAAGGGACAGCAGAGACAAACAGAAATCCCTGCTTAGAAAGGCCAGTGAGAAAGGCCCAGACAAGGGCCTCCAAGCTGGAGCTCCAAGGACAGCCGTCGTGGAGCGGGCCGAGGCCAGGAGCGGGGAGAGCATGCGGCGCTGGGGCAGGGCAGCAGCGGTGGGTTTGGGAGCAAGGGCTCCCAGGGCCTGACTGGGCGGGTCTAGACTTGAACCGTGAAGGCAGTGGGAGCCACAGAGAGCTGCTGTCCACCAGGGAGGGAACGTTAAAATGGTCCACAGAGCCATGGGTGTGCGCAGGGCAGACACTCACACGGGCTGTGCCCCGAGGGTGAGAACGTGGGGAATACCCATGGGTCCTGGGCCGTGAGGGTCTCTTCCAGCACCGTGCCTGGGAGCCCATGGGTATCACGGTGCACTGGGCAGCCTGGGCTCAGCGCGTCCCCGAGATCAGCTCAGCCAGCTCCCCGCCTCTCAGACCTCTCAGACTGGCAGAGGGGCCCCTCAGAGCCGCACCGCCCAGGCTGACGGCCTCACGGCGACCTGCTCTCTGGGCCGTCACCAGGTCTCTGCCCCAGCCAAGCCACCGCCCCCAGGCTGGCAGGGCATGAGCTGGCTATCCACAAACATGTGTGGGCACCCACAGGACACCAAGCATGTGCCACAGAGGCCCGGGGGGAGATCACCCGGCCATGGCAAACAGGACATGCTCCAAAACCAGCCAGGCACGGTGTAAGGCAGCCTGGCCTGGTGCCGCCCAGAAGTGCAGGCAGTGAAGGCCACGGGGGAGGGAAAGCAATGGCGGGGGCGTGTTACCTTGGGGGGGGCCACTTAACCCCCCCGAGCGCCTGCTTCCTCATCTGTAAGATGGGGGAAATACTGTCTGGCCCACAGGGCCGCTGCGAGGGGCAAACGGAAAACAACACACATCAGCGCCCGGCATGTGGCCTGCCCCGGATCTCACAAGGAGCACGGGCTCTGAGCCCAGACCCGGCCAGGATGGTCCCTGCCATGAAAGTGCCCAGCCACACACTGGGGAGACGGACGTGCTGGAGCTCACGCGAGCAGGGGTGCACGGTGCAGGCCGTGGGTGCTGGCTCCTCACCATGCACCCAGGCTGCTGTCCTAAATCCACGTGTGAGCAGGGGCACTCCAGGACCCCCCCCACCCTCCTCTCCCATGGTGACCCATGCCCTGCGAAGGCCAGGGCTTCCGGGCCAGAGAAACTGGGGTTCAGTGCAGCCCGCCCTCACCAGCTGTGTGACCTGCAGCTCCCTGAGCCTCGGTCTCCCCGTCTGCGTTAGGGACGACAGCCCAACCTCATGGGCACAGAGAGAACCACTCCAGCGTCACATGTACCAAACACCCAATGAGAAGTCGGTGCCCAGGGACAGGTGCCCGCCCCACACAGGCCCAAATCCAGGAACCGGCCTGGTGATGGGACAGCCAGCTGACCTTGTCCCCGGGGTCACTCACCTTGACTACAGGCGGTGTGGGAGGGACCACGGGGATGATGGGCGTCGAGGGAGGAGGTGGGGCGGCAGCCGGGGGAACGGGGACCGACGTGATGTTTGCAGTGATGGTTGGCACTGGGGTGGCAGCAATGACAGGCGTCTGGGAGACAGTGGGGGGGACGCTCTGGAAAGGGGTTGCTGGGGAGACAGAGGACACAGCCGCCACTTGCTGCGTACCTTGAAGACAAGGAAAGGATGTTGAACACACCAGGCTCTACCTGCCAGCTTCCGGAAGCTTCCTGAACCATCCCCTCCAGCCAGGGCACATCAGTGCCAGCGAGTCCCTCCTCCTGAGACCCCGGGCCCTGCACCGTGGCTGCCTCCACAGAACCAGCCTCCACAGGCGCTCACCCAACAAAGGAAAGGCACTACCTCTGGCCAGAGACTGGAGTCTGAATGAGGAAGTCTGGACAAGGTGCAGCCTGGAAGAGCCAGGCTTGGGCCCGAGAAACCGGGGCTTAATTCAGACTCCACCAATAACCAGCTCAGTGACCTGGGCAGAGCTACTTAACCACCCACGGTCCTATCTGCCAAGCGGGATGGCTGGCACTGGTGGGGACCCACCACAGCCTCCTTGAGGGCTGGGGAGCTGGGCCAGTCTCTCCATCGGGGCGCACCTCTAGTCCCCGTCCCTGGACCAGGTAAGACCCCCAGGGCTCCTAGGGCTAATCCTTATCCCCTCCACCCTCCCTGACGGGTGACACAGCCCCTCTCCTGTCCCAGAGCATACAATACCTGCTAGAGAGGCAACGTCCTAGGGGGACAAAAGCCCTCCCATCTAGACTTCTGGAAGAGGTGGCCTCTGCACAGGGGCACGACAAGGCCAGTCTCCCCACCAGAGTAGGCTCGAAGGCAGATGGTAACAACGCCACCAAGAGCAGCCGTGTTGCCCCAACTTCACAGACAGGGACACTGAGCTCAGAGGGGCCAAGAGACCCACACTAGAAATGCTGTTGTTACGCCCCCCGGGGCGGGGGGGTGTCAGGACAGAAGGATGGCACCGTCCACCCCATTACCTGCACTCTGGGTTCCTGCAGCCGGTTTCCGGCCTTTGCCCTTCGGAGCAGGGGGTAATAATTCAACTTCCTCCTGGGGCATCTGGGCCACTTTCTGCAGAAAAATTTTCTCTAAGGCTTGGGCCATTAGCACTATGTCATCTGTGGGCTGAAGACACAGGGAGAGCCAAGGTCACTTGTTGGGCAAGGGGCCACGTGCTTGCAAAGACATCACCGGTTGTGGCTCAAGATTTATTAAAAAATCCATTCAGAGATTTGGTAGGGCAGGCGATGGGGGAGGCGAAAGGACCTTATTTCACTGTGGAGACTCTTGAAAGAATTCAGAAAACCAAGAAGAACAAGAACCACCCTTTGGCCTATCCTGTGCAGAAAACAGAACCTTCCACTCAGTTCAACTCAATTCATCTTTGCTATATCCCGTCACAATCGGAAAACAACAAAACCCCCACCAAGTCAGGACCACATGGACCTTCCCTAATCTACTCTTCTCGCTAAAACCATCTTCTCACTAAAAACCGTCTTCTTACTAAAAACCATCACGAACACATGCTCCCTGGTCGTGCAGTGGCCTGGCCACGTGGGGCGGCTGCATGTGGATGTCGTGGTGCGCTCGGCCACCCTCCGGCCGCCATGCGTGTGCATGTTGTGGCTCTACCCCCGTGAGCCCGTGCTGACCCCGTCACCATCCCGACAGCTGAGTTTCGAGGTCCGAGGGCACGATCAGTTCAAAGCGTTTGATACATAAGGTCCCCCCTCAAAGGCTGCTCCAGGCTTCACTCCCCCCCCTGGGGGGGGGCGTGGACAGCACATGGGAGCCCAGAGTGGAGACTGTGGCCTCGGGGTGACACGCCCCCCCGTCTGAGAGCCGCTACAGAGCCCAGGCCCAGCCAGAGGGTCCCCTCAGCACTGGGGTAGCCATGTCCCATGTCCCAGTGCTTTCTTACCTTGTTATAAATGTAACAATTTGTAAACATGGTGTTGAAGTCCTGCATACATTCGCTCGCGCTCCAGTAATAATTATTTTCTAGTCTCTTCTTAATAGTCCCCATGTCCATTGGGTTTTTTATGATTTTATGATAATCCTGGGAAAGAGATTTTCAGAGGCATCGTCAGCAGATTCTGTGGCGTTGTGTTCACCGTCCCCGAGGAGGGTGATTGCCCACGGAGCATCTTCTCGGGCGAACTGGGCACCGGGGTCGGGCCAAAGGCAGTGTCTGGTCAGCTGAGGGCAGGTATAGGGTCTAGGGCAAGCGCCAGGCCCACTTCCAAACCCCTGCCACACCTCTCGCCCGACAGATTCCACCTGGACAGGCAGTTCTTAGAGATGCACGGAACTGGGCACCTGGGGCAGGCCCCAGAGCTGATCAGCACTGTGGCGAGGGGGCCTGAGCCCCCTCTCAGGCTCCAAACCCAAGGCCCGCCAGTGACGAGTACTGAGCTGGGCCCAGAACCCAGGCCACCAACTAGTGACCCAGGGCTTCCCCAGCAACACTGGGGGTTTCTCTATTTGGGTCCAAATAAGAAACCCATGAGAAGACTAGGCCAGCACTGAAGGGGCAGATGGGCAGCTTCCCCTGGAAAGAGGGCCACAACCTGCACTGAGCATCTGACCGCAGCAGGGGGCAGAGGCATGGTCCTACAGGAGGGTACAGGGGAACAGCAGGGAGGCACAGGTTCTCCCCTGCTCCCTACATTTGGGGACCACCGCCCTCCACACTCCCACACCCGAGGAGCCCCTCCGCTCCTCGGTCACCACAGGCCCTGCGCTGTGCCTGGCTTACCGGCGCCACAGCTGCCTGGGCCCAGGGGCAGTCCTTCCAGGAGGGGGGCAACAGAGGGGCAGGGATGCCAGTGGGTGGGGGAGGGGCAGGGATGCCGGGGCGGGGGGAGGGGGGCACTCACAGGCAGGTTGAGCTTGATTGCGTCCACGGGCTGGTAGAAGGGCCAAGCAAACTGGTGTTTCCAGAGCGTCTTCACCACCACATTCTGCATGTACTGCAGCTGGTTGGTCTTGCGGCCGGGCTTGGCAGGGTTGGAGACCTCCGGTGGGGGCGGGTTCACCGGGCCCGGGGCTGCCGGGATCCCCGCAGGGGCGACCGTCGTCGTGGTGGACATCCTCTGTGGCTCGCTCACTGGCCGTCACAGCAGAGGCTCGAGGCCCTCGCTTCCACTATGCCCCTTTCGGAGGCCTGACATCCCATTTCTGGGCCCAACCGGGCAGCACCTACAGGGGAGGAGGGACGGCAGAGACAGGCCGGTCACCCAAGCCCCACCACCTCTCCCAGCCTTGTGGGCTCCCAAGCACACCCGAGTGGTCACAGTGAGGCCAGCTCACGTCACTCACACCACTCAGCCCAGCCCTCACCTGTCACAGACCCACTCTCTAACTACTGCTTTCAAGCTGGGGCAGGGACGTGATGTGAACACAGGCCGCCCGGGCAGGGGTGGGTAACGCAAGGGCGGGAAGGTGGCGGGCCAGGCACACAGCCAGCAGTGGGGGGCGGGGGCCCAGGACGCGGCCTCTCCTGGCTCACTGCCCACCAACTGCCTGCCTACTGGGGGCTGACTCAGGCTGTTCTTGATCGTGGCAATTTTGGGGCAACGATTCACACGTAGAGAGTGCTCCGGCATCGACCCCACAGAGCTGAGCCGGGCAGGCAGAGCGTTTGCGGAACCACGCGTGGCGTGCGGAGCTGGGCCCCTTTGGGGCAAGGTTCCGATGTAACCATGAGAACCAGAGCTGGTTTTGTGATGATGAGCCAGGGTGTGACACGCCCAGCCCCAGGTCAATGGGGGCGGGCAGGAGGAGGTGCACCTCACCCGGCGCTCTCAGCAAATGCGGGCCTGCTGCAAACCTCACGCATCCCCCACCAGCTTTCAGGAATGCTGGCCAGACTCACGGCTGGGAAGGAAGATGACCAACTATGCCCCAGAACCAACAGGCCAGTCCTGACATCAGAAGCCCCACTGTTTCCTGGATGGAAGCTGCTGGCCCCTTTTAATTGTAGGACCCAGAGCAGACTGCGGACCACACGTGGAATAAGAACACCAGGCCATGTTTGTGTGCCCTGCCAGACTTCGCGTTATGTGTCCTTGTCACGATATTCAGACAGGTTGGGGCTCAGTGGCAGCACCCACAGCACGAGGGGCCAGACGGAGCTGGGGAACAGAGAGCAGAACATCAGGGCGCTGCAATCAGCCACCCTTCCTATGACTTGCACAGCAGATCGTTCAAGCTTTGAGAATCTCGTGAGCTGGTTAACATCCTGTTGGTAGCTTGCCACCTGCCACGTGGGCGTGTTTGCACCAAAGAAATTGACACTTGCTACAAACCACTCCAACCAGAGTGAAAAGGGTTCAAGCAGATAGCAGGTGCATCTCGCCCACCAAGACCTGCTCCACATTCAAGGGACACCCTGGAACCCCCTCGAGGCTCCATGCTCATCACCCCAGGGAACCCGGGGAAGCCACAGCCCCTCCCCTCTTCCACACCCTCCCAGGCGAGCTGGCCCCTCTCCTGCTTCTCCCTCTCACCAAGCCAGGGCCGCAGCACGGGCAGCACAGTGCCCACGGCCCCCACCAGCTGCTCAGTGGGGGCAGCGCTGTGCCAGCTCGCGCTAATGGCACTGAGGGTGGGTCTTCACCACCAGAAAGACGTGGGAGCCTAGAGCAAACCTGGGTCATCCCTCACGCCCCACTGCCCCACCCCCAGCAGGTCAGCAAGTGCAAACTTGGCCTGAGCACCGCCACTACCTGCGGGGATCTCCCCTGTGGCCTGCCCTCCCTACATGGCCAGCAGGTGGATGGGTGCCCAGCACCTAGCACTGCTGCTGCTGCAGGTGCATGGCACAGAAAGCCAGGAAACAGGGTGCACCCAGGGCCTAAATAATAACCTGGGGGGACATGGGCCAAAGTGCAGGCTGGCCTCCTCCAAGCATGAGGACGGGCAGGCATGCTCAGTGCAGGGACAGGCTCAGGCTGCCAGCAGGACTTGAGGCCTGCCCCACGGCCTCCCTCCTCCCGCTCTGGCCACCGCTCCAAACGTTTGGCTGAGCAGGAAGCCAGCTCTGACCACAAACACGGGAATGCATCCCCCAAACCTATCTTGAGGTAAGTGCCCAGGGGCAGCACATCAGCTGCCACGAGCCTGAGCCAGGCACTTGGAGGGGCTTCCTGGACTCTGCCGCACACCAGCCCCCTGCCACTGCCCACCACTGTCAGGGGATCCCAGACCGCACACCAGCCCAACCCCTCCCCCCACTGCCCACCACTGCCAGGGGATCCCAGACCGCACACCAGCCCAACCCCTCCCCCCACTGCCCACCACTGCCAGGGGATCCCAGACCACACACCAGCACCCCCTGCACTGCCCACCACTGCCAGGGGATCCTAGACCGCACACCAGCCCGCCCCCCTCCCCCCACTGCCCACCACTGCCAGGGGATCCCAGACCACATTGCTGGAGCTCTGAGCAGAGTGCCTGGTGCTGGCATGTGCTCCCTGAGGGCCAGTGGTCACTACAGGCCACAGGAGTCCTTCCACAGTGGCCCGAAGCGAAGCCTGCCTCCAGCTCGACATCACCCACCCCGGCAGAGTCCGTGAGGCTCAGGGGAGACACGTGCAGAAAGGGCTGGGCACTCTCCAGCACATGGGTGTCCACACTGCGGGACTGACGGTAAGGGGCCCGCCCCCTTTCTGCAAACACTTCGCTGAAACAGGGCGGGGCCTCCCTCCCCCACTCAGAGCCCTGCAAACATCTGGGGACGGCCACAGGGCTCCTGGCGTGCTCTCAGGGTGGCAGTGTCCAGCCCTCTCCCTCTCACAGAGCCCAGAGGCCCAGGCACCAGGTCCCCGGGGGGGGGGGGCAGCCAGAGCATAAGAGGCTGGGGGCCGCTCACAAGCCCTGCCATCCCAGATGCCAGGACCCACCTCTCAGGAGACCATCAAGGGGACGGTCAGAGAGCCTGACCCCTGCGAGCTGCCCCGGGGAGGGAAGACGCTCAGAGAGGCTCCCCGGGCACAAAATTGCACAGGTCACCCAGCACTGTCCCCTGTGGGGTGGCAGGCAGTGAGTGGTTGTGTCCCTGCAGGAGCATGCACACCATCACCCTTCAGACGGAGGCCAGGCCTGGGGGTCAGTCCTCTGCCCAAAACACAGCGGGATGGCAGGTCCAGGGCAAGCCGAGCTATGGTGAAAGCCTGGCCTTGCCTTTTTCCCCTGGATGCTTCTCCAGGCCAGACAATGGTGTGACAGACACTGCCGAGCACACAGGAGAGCCACAGGCCACCTTGGGAAGCCCCCGGGTGGAGGCAGTGGACAGAAAAGGGCCTCTTGGAGGCCCACAGCCGGCAGGCATCAAGCCCACCGCCACGCATGCCAGCCCACGAGGACAGGGGCTTTCACCCTCTGCTTGTGTTTCTGAACAGGTAGGTTGTGTCCAGAAAAGGCTTCTTTTGCAAAAGGAAAAGAGTGCAAAGTTATTTCTAGTTTGAAAAGCTGCTCAAGCACAAACCAACCCAACCCTGCACTCGGTCAATGGCCAAGTGTTTGGAGCTTCTGTTTCTCCTCCTCCAAGGCCTGGGGACGCTGCCTGGGGGTCAGGGGGAGGGCTGAGCAACCCAGCGTGCTCCCTGAAAGGGAAATCCTAGGACCACCATGAGTCCAAAGTAGGGACTTGCGCTCAGCAATGCTGCCAGCCCCTGGGATCCAGGTGGCCGCACCCAGATCGCCCGGACATAGCCCACCTTTCAGTGCAAAGCACAAACAGGAACCAAGGCATGCCACCCACGGCTCCTGCCACTCGGCCTGGTGGCACACAGAGGCACACTACCATGCCTCAGCCTCCCTGGTCTGGGCGGGCTCAGGACTGCATTCTGAGACCGGGAAGCAAATGCTGCTTCCAGAAAGAAATTAAAACTGAAACAGACCACTAGCTGACCCTCTCACGGGGCCAGCTATGAACTGAAAGTAGGGGACAGAGTGCAAAGCGACATGGGGTTCAAAACGGTGTGAGGTACGGCTGCCGTGGAGTCATGCAACACTAGCTCTCAGGGGGTCTGCCTGTCTCCCCAGACGCCCAGAACGCCCTGGGACCCTTCGGTGTCCTCAGGAACAGCCTCTCCCTGTGACGTGTCCAGGACCCACCTCATCCCTCGCCCCCTGCGATGGCCCCGCCACCCTCGGGCCCGGCCCTTACTGCTGCCCTCCAGGGTCAGGCCGGTGGGAGCTGACAGTGGCAAAAACACCAAGAAGTATGTTGAGTGGTCAGTCACGGCCACAAGCCCTTCACCCCCACTGATGCTGAGACACTCGTGTGACCAGAGGTCAGAGCAGCCGTGTCCACTCAGATGACAACACCGAGGCTCCTCCCCCCTCAGGGTACTTTGGGCATTCGGGGACATAACCTACGGTGGGGGGTAGGCAGCTAAAGAATGAGATGGCCCTGCGGTCACCACACCAACATCAAAGACACCGGCAAGGGGGGCCATGCAGAGAGCGGCAAGGAGCACCCACTAAGCCTGCCACACCAGGGTTCAGAACTCGGCTCCTCTCACTGGCTGACCTCCAGGACTGCTGTCACCTACTGAGTGCTCCCAACCCAACCCCACGGACAGAGACACGGGTGCCGTGGCTTCCCACCCACAAGGATGTAGGGGCCAGGGACATCCTGGCCAATGGCTAGGGAGCTGGGTGACACGGGCATGCTGGGCTGGAAAAGGAGCTGTCCTGGTTCCCAAGTCACCCGGCGAGGGGACACGGCACAGCCAAGGGTCTGGGACCAGAGCCTAAGGGTCTCTGTACGCCCATTTACAGGCACTCTGCAGACACAATGAGGTCACACGTGCGAGACATCATTAAAACAGGTCTACCTCAAACACATTCAGCCTTCCATCTCGCCTGTGTCCCAGCAGAGCGGGACCAGCCCCTCAATGTCCTCCCAACTGCACGTTAAAGCCAGCCATGCAGGGAAGCATCCTGTCTGTCAGAGAAGCAGAAAGGCTCTTGCTGCACCCACTGCTCTCCCCTGGGCCTGTGTCTCCAAGTGGGGCCCCTCTTCGGCCCACCAGGCTTGGGCTCTGTGCAGGAACACAGGGCCCCCAGCCCCGCCCCTTGGCCATGCCAGGCTAGGGAGAAACGCCCAGGCAGAAGCCTGGCCCCGTGGCCACCAGCCCAGCCACACTGGCTGGAGACAGACAGAAGGAGAGACAGAAAATGGCCATGGGGCCACC